ACCGCATAAATGACACTTACAATGTACAGATAGTCGGCGAAGTAAAAATTTCGTTTGCAAAAATGTAACAAAAACCAGCCACGTTTTTTTTTTTTTTTTTGGCAAAAGAGAAGCGAATATTGAATTATACAACACGAGTTATGTCGCTTTCATTTTCTTTCTGGTTCTTATTTTTAAAATTTTTCTTACTTTCTTTTTATTTTTCTTTCTTTCTTTTTATAGCAATTCCCCCACCACATTCACGCGACCCTACTTTTGATGCTAGACCTTAGAGTCAATCCACTCTGATTACTAAAGATGAGGATAAAAAGGTCTAAAACGGAAACTTTTTAATAATATTATAAGCCCCGTAGCAGAAGTCCATGCGTGCGAGTCGCACGTAAAAAAAGAAAAAAAAAAGAAAAGAAAAAAGAAAATCATACTAACCCGGGTCGATTTGAAATTGGTAGGTGTCGGGAGGAATACCTTTACAGCTAATTGTGAAATAATCATATTGAAATTGAAGGGATAGACGCGTAAACATGGGCTTCAGTTGAAATTTACAGAACTTTTCTATCCACGGGCTCTGAAATTGCCCGAACAAAAACGAATAAATATATAAAATAATTTTTAAACGTTCTAAAATGGTTGAAAATGGAGAAGAGTTATATTCGACTTGTGCTCAGGAATCGTAGGCGTTTTGCAGTCCCAGTGATTATTTTGCTTGTGCGTGTGCGCGAACTCTGAATATGTAAACGTTTCTTTGTTGGAGTTTGCGCATCTGTCGATTTCTATGCGTGCATTATTTACGAAAGCGATCTTTCTTCATTGTTGTTCTTTTATAACAATATACAAATAAAGAAAGAAGTAAAACATCTATCCGATCATTCTGCAAATTTAGAATTTATCTTTAACTCTCACAATATCCTCTTTTATCTGAATAGTCTATTCAGGATTTGCATGATCATGACACTCCTCAACTACTTATCTTTTATTGCTCTAAATAACTTTTGACCAATAAACATCAATATTTGCTTCACTTCGCTTTACCTGTCTTCAGTATGACCCGTGAGTGTTAAAATCTCCAGACCCTCTTTCTTCTCTGTGCGTGCCAAAAATTTCAGTTGTCTCTTTTTGATTGTAAATATAGACTTTCTTGATGTTACTATATTTCTTAATATCTGTCCATATTTCAGAGATGAGGTATTATAACTATTTACAATATTTACATCGTTCAAAGAGTTGTCCTAATCTTCACGACGTTTCGGCCGTTGTACAATCCGATCTTCTTCAGGTGATATACGTTGAAATTTTGAACCGAGTCCTTTATTAAGTCCACGGGGGTAGATAGAGTTAGTAAAGGGAATTACATGAAACTTAGATGTCCAAAAAAGGCATGCCACATGGAATAAGAAAAATCTACCCCTGTGGACAAAACAAAGGGTTCAGTTCGAAATTCCAATGTATATCACCTGGAGAAGGGCGGAGAGTACAACGGCTGAAACGTCATGAATATGGCATATTCATGACGTTTCAGCCGTTGTACTCTCATGCAAAAGATGAGGACAACAGACCGAACGATGTAAATAGTGTAAATATATTTCTTAAGTCTTAGTCATATTAATATGTTCAGCCCATGGTATTTTTAGCAATCGTCGGTTGGCTCACATCACTGTTGCTCCATTGTCTTATTCATTTGTGAAGTATTTATCCAGCTTTAACTGTCATATAGGAGATTAGATATTACGTAGCATTAGTACAACCTTGTTTTCTAACAAAATTTTCCTACATTTTAATATTTTACTTATATTCTGTAAGGCATCTTTCCTTATACCTACTCGTCTTCGTATTTCTGTGCCACATTTTCTTTCCTCTTTTACGACACTAACTAATGACTTCCCCAATTTGTAGCTTGCATCTTGGGTTGTATCATTTGCTGACAACCTGCGTGTTCTGTATTCTTACAGTTAATAGCTAAACCTATCGACTTACTTTCCTGGAATAAATTCCCGATGTCAACAGTTCTCAACTCGCTATCGATGTTGGTGACACAACTTTTTACTCCTGTCTTAATGGTAAGACTGGTCTGTTTGATAACTTCATGATGACATTTAATCTCTAAATTTAATTACAATCTGTTTTTAACTGGGAAAATGAATGCCCCGTTTAATTTTAAGGCATCCAAAATTAACCCGCTCCCTTTTAAACCTTAAATGAATTTAATTTATATCAAAAGGCAATAAATTTCCAGTGTGAGGGTGGAGGGTGCCCCTGGGCCACCCTTTAATCAAGATTAAAATATCCTTATCCAAGTACCCTGGGTAATATAGTTTCAGAATATATATGGTTATAGCGGTCTATCTCCAAAACACTAGGAAGAGTTCGATGAATTGATGAGTAGATTAATATGACAGTTGAATTGTCGCAACACACATGTATCGTAAGGCACTATAAACTGATTGATGATTTCTTGATTAACTTGACGTCAATATTTTACCTAATTTTGAGCTTGCCGATGTGACATCTACCTATTGGCTTTTGAATAGGTGACATTCCCGTGTTCAAATTTAAATCAATGGGGATGTTTTTTTCAATGAAGGCTTTGTGTCCCTCGTGACCCCCTTTGATCAAAATGAAATATCCTTATACAAGTACCCTAGAAGTCATTCCCTTCTTCAAATTTAATTTAAATCAAAGGGGAAAAGATTTCAGTGTGGTGGGGGATTCACTTTGATCAAAATGAAATATACTTATCCATATACGTTTCAGAATATATAAGCTTATGGGGGTCTATCTCCAAACCCTAGACGAACTTCGATAAACAAACAGACGGACAGAGGCTACAACTTTTTACATATATATATATATATATATATATATATATATATATATATATATATATATATATATATATATATATGGGGTTAAAAATTAGGAAATCAGCCAATTTTGTTCTTCATATATATATATATATATATATATATATATATATATATATGGTCATGTGTGACGTCATGAGAAGCGGTGCGATTTTCGCTTCTAGCGTCTTATATGCACGTGTTTATCGTTGCTTAGAAATCATCTAGGTAAACAACGACAGACTATCATCACTGTCTTGTCCGTATATTGCTTAATATGTTGTAATTGACATCTTTGATAATGGCTTATATGAATATGAATCAATATTGTGAATTTTTTTCTTCGTTCAACGATAATGTTATTAAACTTATCAGACGTTACGAAAAAAATTACATAAAATAAATAGACAACACTTGTCTATATTATTTAATGAAACGTGTATGAATATATATATATATATATATATATATATATATATATATATATATATATATATATATATATATATATATATATATATATATATATATATATATATATATATATATATATATATATATATATATATATATATATAAATGGAATAATACAACACAAAATGTACGTTAACAAAATGTATTGAAACAAAGAATAGATTTTACAGTTAGTTTTGGTATATTCTTGGGAAGACTGTTCCTGCATAATGGGTTTCAGAGTCTCTGGATTCAATTTCTTAATCCTACTATCTCCCCCGTCTTCCGGTACCAAATATTTATATGGTCAGGTCCGCTTATGTAAATTAGGTGTATCATACACAACATATATATATATATATATATATATAAAAATTTGTGACTTAGCCAGCCCGAAGTTTCATAAACGGGCCCTCCAGCAATCACACTGTCCACTCCTCAGAGGATATCTTCTGCAATTGACTGTTTATTCTCTCGTTTATTTTTTATATAGACACTTTTCTTTGGTGCAGGGTTGATTATTTCCTTTCATTGTGTGTGTGCGTGCGCGCGTGTGTGTGTGTTCGCGCGCGCACGCGCATGCGGTTGTGCGCGCCTATATATGTACGTATAGAATATCGTGGTTATTTCTCCTTTTCGTCTTTTTTCTTGTCTCTTTATACTCTCCACTTATTCCTTTTATACTTTTTATACATTTATATATATATATATATATATATATATATATATATATATATGTGTGTGTGTGTGTGTGTGTGTGTGTGTGTGTGTGTGTGTGTGTGTGTGTGTGTGTGTGTGTGTGTGTGTGGGTGTAACAGGAAAATTGTCCAAATCCTGTATCAATATGGGGTAATTGTCCATCCCAAAAAATGCTTATTATCTAAAAACACTAAACTAATTGATTTACTTTTTTCAAAAAATGTCTTCTCAACTGAGCAATAGTGAGAGGAAAAGATCATCCAGGCCATCAGTATGGTACCAACATTCATACTCTGGCTTCCATCTTCAAAGTCCATTTAAGAACCATCAAGAAAATGGTGAATAAGTTTTAAAAAGTTGGAACAGTAGAGAGGAAATTTGGATCAGGAAGTTACTACAGGAAGTGGACTTAGAGCTAAATACATTTTTATTTTTCCGAGTAGAGTCCAATAGTGTTATAAAAACACCGGAGAATTCCAGTAAGATATCTTTAATCATTTCTAAGATGCAACATTTTCAAAGCTTTATTTAACAATTGTACAATTTTGCTGTTAAACGATTTAGACAATTTTGTTGTTAACCCCGTATATTGTTTGCAATGGTTTTGAAATGTAGTCTCTTCAGGGAATAGACAAAAATTTCTCACCGCAGTTAACATTCTTTTTTCAGCTATGAATTTCCATGACTTTTGTGGAAATACAGCGTGACATTCTCCAGGGTTTTGAATTCCGAATAGTCCTTGTCCTAGAATATTTACTACCTAAGGATAGAGCGCCCAGACTAATCTTCTGTTCGTCCCATGCGAAAGAGAGGTGGATAATGTCATTTCCCAGGGTGCTGATATGATAGTAAATGAAATTTGAACCCGGTTCGACTCATCCACTTTTTCTGGTCTGATAAATTATACTAACCGCATATTGCAACCATGTTTGCTATTTTCCGCTTACCTTTAGGTAACTTTATAATTTCAGCCTCTTAAAGCTTTCTATCGTTATCATAATAAAAATAAGCATATGGTCATATCACGTTGAAACACCAGTTCTCGTACGATTACTGAAGTTAAGCTACGTCGAGCCTAGTCAGTGCCAAGGTGGGTGACCGCTTAGGAATACTAGGTGTTGTGAGCGTGGAAGTGCGGGCGGTGTAATGGATAACGACTCGGAAATGTAAATCGAAAAGCAGAGTTCCAGTTCGATTCGGGTTTGTTATATTCACTTCCGTGAATATACCGTTGGCAAAGGTATGAATCCAGCTATCGATTAATTAGTAGGTCTTATATCATTAAAAAACTTATTATCGCAAAAAAGAATTCCTACCGTCTAAAAAATATATTCTGGCTTTAAATACCCTGCGAAATGTTGATAAGCCGTAAAAAACAAATTAATCAATAAAGAAAGAAAATAAATGAGCAATATATGTTTTGAGAATTTTTTCTCCTGGAAACTGATTTTTTTTTCATTCAAAACATTCTTTTTTATAGGAGTGTTTTTTTTTGTTTTTTTTTATACCACGAATCGACCGGAGTCGGGATCAGCGATCCAATGCAAATGTCAGCCGAGTTGCATAGTATATCTTTCATATTAAATGTGAGAAATTAAATGACAAAATTGGCAACACATCGTAGTAATGAATATATGTAATAAAATCTACAAAAATACATGGGTAGAACTCGTAGAAACTTCAATAAATCATATATGAACACATAAGGAACATTTTTAGTGTCAGTCGTTTATCGTAATGAACCTTATCACAATTTCGACTTAAACAATGTGGGTTTAATTAAAAGAGCAAGTAATTCGTCAAAACGAAAATGTATAGAAAGTTCATTAATCTCTGGATATTCGGCGGTAAAATTTACATCCAGTGATTTAATACCTTTTACCTTTCTTAGCAAAAACATTTAAAAACATCTAACCCTAACCCACAGAACATAAACTACGTAACGAGTTAGGAAAAAGAGAAATTTTTACTAAGACCTATAAAGAAGGTTTCGAGAACCCTGATCGCCAACGTTCCGAAGGGACATGACTCATATCCACTTTCAATATTAGTATGAACAATGGGTTTTTCTTGACTAGAATGTTACGTAATGGCTTCAGTCTACACACTGATAATAATGGCTGATAAGAACTCTTCCAATAGTGATCGGGTATCGATATCCCTAAAAAGGAAAGTAAACTTATTCAATTAATACAGATGTTGAGTAAAAATAAACAGAGTCGGCTAGAGTAGACAAACTTGTTTATAATTAAAGCTTTGAATGGTTAGCCATTTCTAATCTCATCAGGTCACAAATAAAATCTTGAGGGTTAAATCAAATATGAACTTTTCATTGTCAATGCCCACATCCTCGATGGAGACAGTATAATTTTTGCATACTATCACGTGACTAATTTGACATATAATATTATATGATATTACATTAATATATCCCCTTATTATATGAAAAGGAGTGTATATATTCTAACCCTTAGCTGGGCATATTCCACTCAGCCGGAGTTGTATTTCCCGCTTAAGGGATTGAAATTAGATTTGCTATGACAGCAAATTAGCGAACCACGTCCAACATTAACAGAGCAGTAAAATAAGGGAACATCCCTAGACAAAGAAAACAGAACGAGAACAATTTAGCCTGGTATACAAATAAACTACTCATTTCTTGAAGGCTATCCAGATCGACAGACGCCTGAAGAAGGTCAAACTGCGCAGCAATCGAAACGTAATTATAACAAAGATGGGGCTATTAATCCAATAGTAATTAATATAATTATCCATTAGTAATGGATAGCGGGTCGGATTGAGGAATCGGAGAGCCGAGTTCGAATTCCAGTCGGATCCATTACATTCACTTACGTGCTAATACTTTTGGGAAAGGTATGAATGCTTCATGAATAATGCTCAAATATTTTTCAAGTTATGTACCTAATAATTTATCACTAAATGCTGAGGATGCTAAAGTTGATGTGTGAATGAAAGTATAATCTATCTATCTAACTTTTTTTCTACTTTTTTTTTTTTGCATTTTACAGTAAGATTCAGTCTGTACAAGGTCGGGGGTCGTAGATGGTTACGTTAAGGGGTAGTTTATATGGATAGGCGGGTAAGATAATGGTTAGCTTTAATATTGTAGTAATCGGGGAAACATTCTCTTGGGAGTCTGTACCACAAAGCAGTTCTTCGCGTGAAGAAGCTGTTTGTGGAACTTCTCGCCGATTACGGAATACAGAAGGATATACATACACACACACACACACACACACACACACACACACACACACACACACACACACACTGAGATATATATGCGTGTGTATCTAAATATTATCTGTGTATATATATATATATATATATATATATATATATATATATATATATATATATATATATATATAATTTTAATGGATACATTCATACAGACACAAGCAGGCACAGACATAGATTTTACTTAAACTATTCATATCAACGGTACATGTTCAGATCTATCTATCTATCTATCTATATATATATATATATATATATATATATATCCCACCGCGTTCGTGCTTATTGCTAACAGTCTGGCCATATCTGTCTATCTCTCTAGCTAGTAACAAGAGGTATTTCTGTTATTCTGTCGGATTCAGATTCATATTCGATCTGTATTTGATCCCAATTGGGATATATATATATATATATATATATATATATATATATATATATATATATATATATATATATATATATATATATATATATATATAATGTGCATATGTAGCCAGCATATTTTCATACAAACATTTTTTGGTTAAATAATTTAGACATATGTCTATTTTGGTTTCGAAATTAATCCGTATAATTGAAAGGATCGAAACCAAAATAAATACACATAATATATCTAAATTATTTAACCAAACACATTTGACTCTCTCTCTCTCTCTCTCTCTCTCTATATATATATATATATATATATATATATATATATATATATATATATATATATTGTGTATGTTCAGTTCTATCCATCTATCTATCGATCTACTTTCTTGTATTATTATAAGCGTTTTTTTAGTGTTACACGTATTTGAGTTACTATTAATTTAGACCAGGTTGTTATTAATTTTCCCATTTAAGAAAATTAAAAACATTGACAGCAAGTGAAATAGATATATCCACCAAAAATAGCGTCTATATTAATAAATAAGTCAGGTCGGATACAAAATCCATACAAACATCAGTATGTATCTAATAAAGGTGTACCCACCCAGATATAAATTAAATTAAATAGAAGACATCTAAAAGTAATCTCTCTCTCTCTCTCTCTCTCTCTCTCTCTCTCTCTCTCTCTCTCTCTCTCTCTCTCTCTCTCAAAAAGGTATACTCAGGTATAAATTAAATTAACTAGAAGACATCGAAATGTAATCTATCTATCTATTTATCTATCTAATACAGGTATACTCAGATATAAATTAATTTAACTAGACATCTCGATGTATGTATTTCTGTATATATATATATATATATATATATATATATATATATATATATATATATATATATATATATATATATATATATATATATACCTTTATTTATTTCTCAAACTCTATTGATATCTATCTATTTTTTTCTGTTCCAATCTATCTAACTATCTAGCTAGCTATCTATCGTTTGGATACATTCAGATATGAATTAAATTAACTGAACCACATCTAAATGTAATCTATCTACCTATCTATCTATCTATTGACTGATCGATCTTATCTATATACAGTTATATATACAGCTATACACACGTAAAACAATATGTCATTTTCACTTTCAGGTATATGTGTATCATCTTCTCCTACAGGTACACACAGTGATACACGTGTAAAAATCTGTACGTATATATCTACCTATGTAATTATTCTCGAATACAAGTACACACAATACATATTTTCTTTTACTGTATACGTATGGGAGCGCATATGTAACACAGGAGTTAATGGATATTAGAAGTCCCGTTGGACGTGCCAATCGGCTCGAATGTTTACAAAGACCTACGCGAAAGTGCTCATCTCTCCTCGAGGGGTAACAATTATCAGAATCATTTCATCCTACAAATAGTGAGTTGAATGCTTTATACTCTTCTCTGCGGGGTTCCAAAGTGATGCAATTTCTCCAGTTCCCAACAAAGTTATTTCTGAGGCTGACGGATCAGCCAAGCAATAAGGATTTTAAAGGTTCTTTTTTTTTTCTTTTCTCTTTTTTTTTTCAAGGTTTACTTTTTTATTTTCATTTTATCACATTTCTTGCCCCCACCCCCGCAAGCTTTTTTATTTATTTATTTTTACCTCTCCTTTTTTATTATTTCTAAGATTCCAGATTCTTAAGCCGTGTGTGTATTGAACAAGGCTTTCTGATATGAAATGGCATAATTTCTCACCCCTTTGACAAAGATTACTTTGCCCTCCCCGGTTCACTCGCCTCTTACCGCTCACCTTTTGCCAGTCTTTTTCAGTCGCAAATCCAAAAATGTTGATACATATCTAACTGCCGGGCTAATTTTGATCAATCTATGCAGATTTTCGTTTGCTTTCTTTCTTTTGAACTTTTCAAAGTTTTTTTTGTTTTTTGTTTTGCTTTTTTTACTTTTACTTTTTTACTTTTATTTTATACTGATCAGATTTCATTTTTCGCTCACTCACTCACTCAGTAACTCACTCACTCA